GCATATCCTGCAGGGGCCCCACATTACCCGGCGCCTTCTTCATCCTCCCAATATATTTGAAAAAGGACTTTTTGTTATCCTTAATCCTGGACGCTAATCCGAGCTCTATATCTGCCTTGGCCTTCCTAACAGCCTGCCTGCAGGCCCGAGCAGAGGAGGTATACTCCTCTTTGGAGATTACATGCCCCTTCCACCGGGCGTACGCCACCTTTTTGGCAAGCAGGCATTCCCGGACACCCTTGGTGAGCCAGGGGGGCTTTTGGACACTGCTGCCCCCCTTGCTTCTTGTCAGGATGGACACCCCTTGGGCCCCAAGTATCGTTTCCTTAAGGAACAACCACTCCTCTTGGACGCTGAGTTCCTCTGCCCTCAAGGACCCCAGTTCCTCTCCCACTAATCTCCTCATCTCACTGAAGATGGCCCTCCTGAAGTCTAGGGCTACCACCTTGCTGCGGGCCCTTGACACGCTACACTGTGAGTGGGAGCCAATGGGATCAGATATTTTTTCGCGCGCTAAATGGGCTGCATAAGCTGGGGATTTTGCTACATGCATCGATCGCGCGGCTATTAGGCTGCACCCCGCTGCTTTCCCCACGCCGTGGGCTTAACTTGCTCTCATGTCTGGCGTTTGGTCACCTTTTCTTTATCACATGTATCTGCACTGTTTTTCTCTTAGTCCATCTTCAGTGACTCCAGTAAAAAGTGTTAATGTAGTTTGATCAGGTGGACAGAAAATGTTGATCCGTGTCAACCACAGCTCTACGCGGATGGCATCTATCCTCTTGTACTGATTTTCCTTCTCCAAGTGCCTCAGTGTTGCGTTAGGGGCAGTGCTTGGTTGGAGTTGTCACCTTTCAGATAAGATGTTAAACCAAGGTCAAAAACGTGTGCTCACTAGAGATCCCATGGCACTTTTTCCCAAGAGCTAACTCTTCAAATAGTAGTCTGGGGAGTCATACTGCACCTCCATAAACTCTCCCTCCTATTTCAGTTGGATTCACTAATCTTCTTTACTTCCCGTCCTAAACTGTCACGTAGAGTTGCTCTGAACTATTGAACAGCTGCTGTGTCCAAAGCTCAAGCTAGTCAGTGTGGTAGAGAAGTACTGTCTTGTTCATTCTGTTCCCTAAATAGCAGCTCAAAATCAAGATATTTTCCATTAATATTTTATTTGCTTTTTAAAACTAATTTGCTTAATAATGCTTGAACCATTTGTGTGTTCACTTTCCAAAAACATTTGAGCAATCAAGTTTTACTGGTATGACTGTTTATAGAAAAGAAATTTCACAATTGCTTGCATGAGCCTTTGTGGCAATCTGTATTCCATATTCATATGTGCAAGAATTCATGTTGGAAGTCTTCATCTGATCATACAGTCAGGAAAAAGAAGCAATGTTGTGTATTTATCTGACCAATTGCAACAAACAGAGCTCAGACAGTGATTATTACTGAATAATCATGTTTGGAATCAGATTCTGTATATTAAGTCACATAAAACTGAAAGCACTTCAGTAATTAATGCATGTAAGTGCATTTAGTTTCAATTTTGGTTCAACTTTGGTTAATACCTTCTTTGGAAAATCAAAATAATGTTGTGCCCCTTACCTTCAAGGGGAGTCTGGTCACTGTGCCAGTACTCTTGGACCGGTCTAAGTGAACAGTTGCAACTGTTCGACCTTTAACATAAACCCACCATGTGCCACCAGAACAAAATAGTCATTATGCTGCCAAGCAATGGCTCAGTAACATGATATCGTGTGATGCCATGTGATCATATCAAGGCATAATGTTATTGTCACTGATACAGTGTCATGATGCAGCCTTATTACATTAGTATAAGTAAAAATAATTCAACAATTGGCATTTGCAAAATATGAAGTTAGAATCTGTTAAAACTGGGATTAATCTGTAAAATTAAGGGTGATTGGCCTCTTTAAGTAGTTATGTCAAATCTGATCAGATCCGATACCCACTCCATTGGCCACTCTTTGACTCCACAGAGTTTTTAGTGGAAAGCTCAAGACAGCAGTTTTCCCTCATCCAACATCCTTTGCTCACTGAAGAAAAGGTAACATTTCCATTGACTATAGCAGGGAGGGATATGTAGGAACTTTAGGAGAGAATGTTCATTGAGTTGTACAAGCAAAGCAGTGTTTGGTATACATAAAAGTATCGGGGCATTTTATTTACCCCTCAAAGGAAACCTGGGCAGCTGAACTTTTGCTTTGCTGGATTTTCCATTCCACAACCACCACTGGCATCACCACAGTTTGTTTAGAGAAGGTCCTCCCCAGATTCACACACACTCAATTGATCATGAATGAACTTCAGAGCAGTTATTAATCTTACTGCCCTGCTGCACTCTAAACCCCCTTCTAATCCGGCCTCTGTTCTCTTGGACAATACATGCAGTGAGATGAAGGCAGGATCAATGCCAGTGTAGAGCTGCCCTTTTTGCTATTTGTTATGACAGGAGTTTATACATCAACAGCAGTGAGCACTTCTCCCTTTAGGGTACCAGGGGAGAGGAGAGTGAAGGGGAATTAAAAAGGGTCAGAAGTCACGCTCTCAGAGGGATGGCAGAGTCTCACCCTGGCTTTTGGTCTCCATCGAATATCTGGGCTCTCTGTATTTAATGACTGACCTAACAAGACATTGCAACCCTCCTGCCCTTTGGAGACCCACAAAGAGCTCAGCAAGAATTAAGAAAGAGTGCATTGTGCCTTTGATCCAATGGACAGTATTAAATCTGCCAGGCAGTGAAATAAAATCTCAGAGGAACCTCAGCTCATTTTCTAAGAGGCTTAACACTGAGTTAAAAGTTCCCTTTACTCACCCATTGTTGATGACCCCTTCTTGTGTACTGCCAGAGGAGTAGCCAGGGAAGACAGCCTTCATGAACCCAAATGGGTTATAAACAGCTGGTTGAGATAAGTTAGGTGTCTGAAGCAAGAGTAGCAGGAAGAAAGATACTGTTGAGTCTTGTTCTTTCTGGTGCTTGGAAGTTGCACTGTCTCTCACGCGGTGCTAAAACCATGTTACATTCCCACAGAGGAAAGCCAACATTGGCTGTTAGTCAATTTTTTGAGCAGTACTCCATGAGTGGTGTAAATTTAGTGCTATTCTTTTCTGTAATTTTTTCCAAATCTCAGGCCTGAGTGTGAATAGTAGACTCCAGAGCTGGTAGAGCAAAGTAGCCCACTGCCAAAAAAGCAGACTTTTTACTTCAGTCAGGAGATATGCTTGTCCTTTATAAAAGCATTTGAGGTGGGGGAGTACATATCAGGGAAGAAGAGCTGTTTAAGTTAAAGGACAGTCTTAGTACAAGATCAAATGAGTAAACCATGGATACAAATAAAATTTAAGCTGGAAATTAGAAGACGGTTTCTAACCACCAGAGATAGGAAGTTGTGGAATGGTCTTCTGAATAACGTAGAGGAGATGGTGCATGATAAGTTTAAGAAAAGGGTAATCTGATGGGACAGGGGTGCTCTTGGGAGTAGTAATCAGAGCTGGTGATCTAAGTTTTTAAATATTTGGTAGCCCTATGATGGAGTTAAAATGAAACTTGATCATTGTATATATCTGGGGGGGAGGGTGAAAATCCCAGCTTTAGAGGCTTTTGCTGGATGCCTGTGGGGGCCAGGAGGAAGCATATACCTCGTTGAATGCATTATTTGACTTCTGAGGTGTATTTTCACCTTCCACTGAAGCACTGTATGTTGGCCACAGTGAAAGGGGGGAGATTGCCTCAGTTGTACTGACACCCCTAATAGTACTGTGTAACCTCTTGGGTAGCTGGCTGGTGAGTCTTGCTTGTGTGCTTAGAATAAATCATAAGATTTGGGGTCAGACAGGAAGGCATGATTGACTAGGGCTGTTGAAGTGTTTTGCTCTTCCTCTCTAACATGGGGTTCAGTCCACTTCCTGAGATCATTGGAGTATATTTTACCATGGGGTTCAGTCCACTTCCTGAGATCATTTTAGTATATTTTCCCTAATGCTTTTCCTGCCAGTGCAGTCTCTGGGCTATTGGTGGAGGTTTAATCTCTCCTGCTCTTTTCCTAGGACATCAGAGATTTTCAGAGCAGTAGCCTTTTGGTAGAAAATTAATCGGATGCTTTATGGTTGCACTGTACAAGAGGGGCCAAAATGAATTTCTTGTGGACATTTTTGTACAATTTTTTATCACACGTTTGTCTGCAGTCCCAGGATACAGGACCAAATGGCATGGAGGTCTCTTCAGGGGACAGTGATTAATCAAGAGAGCTTCTTAGTTTCAAAACTGCCACAACTTTGTGTTCAAACCAGCCAGTGTAACAAAAAAAGCAAAGGGTTGGGAGGGAGCATAGTGCTGAGCAAGTTGGCATACAGTCATCCAAGGAGCAAGCTTTCTTTACCGGCTCAGCAGTGAAGCTGCTGGAGACAGGCTGGAGAAGGAAGCACTGAGTTCCAAGGGGCAGTTTGAGATGCAGGCTTTGAATAGGTCAAAATCTGAAAGTCCATGGTTGTGTGGCTCCAGGGTTTGTTTTTGAACATCTGATCCCTTTAGTTGCTCTCCTCCAGCTTCCTCTGCTCTCTCCTAGTCCGCTCCTTCCTGCAGTTGTTATGGAGGTGCTGGTTGTGGCGCCATGGTTAATGTTGCAGTAAGAGTTCCGATCTAAGCCATATGTTTGACCCTTCACTCTAATTTTCCATAGAAAGGCTATTGCTGTGAAAATGGTTGTGATTAGCTTAAGGGAGACAAAAGATTTTGCTGAGATTTTCAAAAGTGCAGGCTAAATACTTCTGAAATCCCAAGGTCCCAAATCCGAACCCTTTTTGAGATGTAAAATATAGTTCTCATGATATTTCCTTTACCACTAACTTTAAAATAGAATGCTCTAGATGCTCAATAATTCACTCCCGGATTGCTGCTCACTCCCAGGCATTGTATGGGCTGCTGCTGGGATTTTTGCTTTGGGGGGAAAAAAAAAAGAAATGTTCTGGACTGGATCTCCACCTGCTGCTTCATGATTAAAATTTTAATTGCCCTTGATAAAATAGTTGCTTTGGTGACTAATGTTTTCTTCACCAAGCAAGTAAGAATGGAAGATTGAACATGACACAGTAAGAGACTAGCTGCCAGAAGCTGGAGTGCAGGGAGAGCTGTGTGGGTTAGGACGGAGCAGTTATTAAGAAAGGCTTCAAATGCTGATGTGTGGGGCTGTTCAGGATGTTTCAGTTTTGGTAAGGTCCAGTTCTTCAGACCCTCATTGCAGTGAACCTTATATAACTCAGCAAGGCTGAGCTTAGTTCCTGCACAGGGAGGAGAGCATACACATACACATACACATACACAATGCTTCCAAGACATCTCCTTTCTTAAGAGTGAAGGAGGAGGCAGGGGAAGAGTTGCATAAAGGGAAAGGTTATGGTTGTTTTGGAACTGGGACTGGGATAGTGGTTAGTGTTGAAGGTCAAGGGAAAATTAAGTGAAATATCACAAGGGGAGCAGCCATCAGGTAGAAAGCAAAAGATGTCTGAGATTTCACAGTGGTCTCCCAAGAGCACCAAGCCCTGTTACTTGAAATATTTGAAACTAGACTGGACAAAGCAATGGCAAATCCACTGTACCAGCCCTATCTAGATAACCCAGCAGGTCTTTGCCTCTTGCATGTCCATGGACTCTTCTGCAAATACCCCTCTGTGCCTCCACTCCAAATTATCATTTGCCTTCCCTGGATAAGAAAATACTTTCCCTCCCTCTTTTTCCCTCTTAAGAGAGGAGCTGTATTTGAGTCATTGTATAAATTCTGTCTGAAGCTCTGTGTTGATCCCAGGGGTACAAGCTCACAGTACTGATGAGGGTAGGAGTGATCAACTACAGGCTTTCCTGTTGCTCCGTTTGCTGAAGGCCTGACCAATTTCAACAGCTGTTTCTGCTTAGAAACTATTGGCATCTTTATGGACTGTTTTTTTCCATTCTTCCTTCTCTCCCTGTGTCCCAGCAGCAATGAATTATGTAAGACTACCTTCTAGCCTTTTCCTTATTAATATTTCGGTAGATACATCCTTGAGAAGTGGATCCACAGCTTTCTCTCATATTTCTGAGGACATGAGCATTCTCTCTCTCTCTCTCACGCACTCACACACACTCACAGTTACTCACTCACTTGCAAACACATATGTGCTCTCTCACATCCTCACAGACATTAATTCTAAAAAACAGACGCTAAAAGCCTGGCTCCACGATAGCTTTAAATGTTTCCCTTGGTGTTCATATTGTAGTCTTAATTGCTGTGTTCTGTGCAAAGAGGTTAGCTCCTTGGCACAGGGACTCTCATTTGTGTCTTATGTAGCGCTGCTTACACTGTTGGTGTTTAACAAATAGTAATAAATAATAACTATAAGTAATGGAAAGAGATTTAGAAATTGCTGTTTCTATTTGCAGCCAGGGGTTACAACAGCTCTAACAAACATCATTCCCAGCTGGCTTAGTGATTTAGCTGACAATTATTAGAAATGAATCAGTTTCAGAGAATTGTGAGCAGGCTGCATGCATTGAACCAGTTTATTTATGCCCTTGATAAGCTTTTGTGACCACATAAAGTACACAGTGTAATGTGTGCAAGCCAAAATGTGTGCAGTCTGGATGTACTTAACCCATTTACATTTTGCTGAAAAACTTAAAAGCTATCATCTGGTGGATTAAATTTAGAAAAGGGTAACGTAAGTAGTATGTGCAGGGTCATACACATATCTCTTTTACCCACTAACTCAAGAGCTGGAAAAAATTTCCACACCCGGAAACTTGGTGCAGCTCAGCCATTTTTCATGCCGTTTCTTGGTTTACCATCTCTGCCCACTGCTTGTTTCCTGTTTATAATATTTTGAGGTAAAACGTATAAACGTTTTGAGGTAAAACGTAATAAATTAAGATTGCTGGTGATGTGCTTACCTGGCTACATTTGACTTGCTTTCTGGATTGGCATGCCAGTGGATGCTTGGGTCTGGGATTCTGGATTGGCCCATGACAGGGCTGTCGTGACTGCGGACCACATACTGCCTGTGGCAGTGTCATAAGCCCCAAGCTGCACACAGCATGGGCTCCCAAGACACCTGTCAAGCAAAGCCCCCACTGCTGCACAAGCCCCCTCCTTCCTCCCCACATGCCAGCAGAAAGTTTACTGGACCCCCACGTGCCATGCTGCCTTGCCTCAAGGACCCTGGCTGCTGCAACAACAGCAGGAGCAATGTGGGGAGTGGTGTCCGTGGGAGAGCTTGCAGACCACACGTTAATCCTTTGCAGGCAAGACAATGCCCATGGGCTGCCAGTTGGATAGCTTTGGCCCATGATAAAGACATGTTCCAGCTGGAAATAGCAGATGCAGATCCAGGCGCTATGATAGTCTCAGGATACTTTTGTATTCGGGCCTGGCATGACAATGAATCAGTGGACTTTGGTACTAACAATTGGCCTGCATTATTTAGATTCGAAGTATGGAGTAATAGTAAGCTCTTTTTTTTCCCTGTGAAATAGCTACTAGATGAGATATGCAGCAATTTGCCAGTGTGCTGCAGTCAGGTATAAAGGTTTGGTTCCAAGCCATCCCTAAGGATGCAAGAAAAGTGCACTGTAAATCTTCCTGATATTCTTTTGTTACTGAATTGCACTCTGAGAAATATACTTTCTTCTTTGCCGACATTCTGTAATTTTCTCCTTGCTCATCACTCTGAATTTGATTATTTTGTACTAATCTGATGATTTGTTATTTCTAGCTATGTCTGAATGTTCATTTTGGCTTTTTAATTTTTGTGTCCATTTAGCGCAAATGAAAGGTGCTTGGATGGATGGTACTGGAGGCCAACATCTTCCTTTTTGTCCATAGTGAAGGTACACCTCTGGCAGTCACCGAGTAAGCTTCCCTGGCTTTACCTCTGCAGTTTGCCTCTGCTACAGTTGAAGAGAGTGTTTAGTCCCTGTGATCCATTTCCTCCTTTACAT